ATTCTCTTGACCTTGTGGCGTGGATGTTTTCTGGATACTTTTTGCCTTTTTGCTTGCCCAGTAAAGAACATTACTGAACATTACTTCTCTGTCTCTGTCTCTGCACCTGAGTCTTCCCAGTCACCTCTAGCCTAGGGGTAAGGCTCCTGACTCTCACGCAGGAGACCCGAGTTCGATTCCCCGGAATCCTAACAGCAAGACTGAGTCATGGATAAAGACTCAGCAGAGACAGCTCATCCCCAGCCAACTCAAGCCACAAGTCCACCACAGGCACCTACAACCGCTGATCAACTCTATGCAGCAGTGGTCAGCCATGATGCCACTGTTTCTCGTCACGAGTCTCGCCTGCGCACCCACGAGTCTGTCTTTGGACGCCATGAAGAAGCCCTACAGGACCTTCAACAGTCTGTGAGTAACCTACTTGCTCATCAGCCACCCCTTTCCCCATCACCAGCTCCAACTCTGCCAGTGTCTGAGCCTCGACTGCCTACTCCTGAGAGATATAACGGCAATCCCGCGGACTGCCGAGGATTCTTGACACAATGCTCCCTCACCTTTGAACTTCAAGCCTCCACCTTCCGAACTGATCGTGCACGCATCGCTTACATAATCACTCTCCTGACGGGGAGAGCTCGGGCTTGGGCCACTGCCATATGGGAACAGCAGGGTTCTGCCTGTAGTGACTATGTAAGCTTCACTGAAGAGATGCGCCGAGTCTTCGATCATCCAGTGGGGGGCCGAGATGCTGCAAGTCGACTGTTCCATCTGCGCCAAGGCAGTTCCAGTGTCGCTGAGTACTCGGTGTTCTTCCGCACCTTGGCAGCAGAGAGTGGGTGGAACATGGAGGCACTGATGGCGACATTTCGGCATGGACTCTCCAACTCTGTCAAAGACGAATTGGCAGCTAAGGATCCAGCTCCGGACCTGGAGTCTTTGATCGATCAAACGATTCGTCTGGACAACCGGCTGCGGGAGAGGCAGCGTGATCGACAGCCTGAGAGTCGCTCCAGTTCTGGAGCCGCTGCTTCAGCCTTCAGCCCATGGTCGTGGTCTCCAGTTACGGTCCCTCCCCCTGAGGAACCTATGTAGTTAGGTGGAGCTCGTCTTTCCCAGGCCGAGCGGGACCGCAGGATGAGGGAGAAACTCTGCCTTTACTGTGGAAAACCAGACCACTTCCGTGCCTCATGTCCTGGGCTTTCGGGAAAAGCCCACTCCCGTCCAGGAGAGGGAGATCTGTGACGGGAGCAACACTTACTCCCTCAGCCTCCACTTCGTGCCTGCAGATTCCAGTCACCATTTCCTGGGAGCACCAGCAACACCATCCTCTACTGGCCCTCGTAGACTCTGGCGCTGCCGGGAATTTCATGGACCTCACACTTGCCAAAAGACTCCACCTGCCCATAACCAATTTGGACCGTCCACTCATGGTGATGGCTCTGGATGGAAGACCACTTGGGAAGGGTAATGTAAACCAAATTACTGCTCCTGTTCTTATGTCCATTGAGGGAGATCATCATGAGAAGATTCAGTTTAACCTGATTCAGACTCCAGAGTTCCCCCTAGTGTTAGGGTTCCCTTGGTTGTCTCACCATAGCCCTCATATCAATTGGTCATCTGGAACTGTGGTTGAGTGGGGGCCCAGTTGCAAGTCTACTTGCCTCCTCTCTAGAGCCACACCCCTAGTCCCTAAGCCTCCTAGTTTTTTCGAGTTGTCCCGAGTCCCTTCCGAGTACTACAGTTTGAGTGAGGTTTTTAGCAAGAAGGCAGCCACAGCCTTGCCACCTCATAGACCATATGACTGTCCTATTGATCTCATTCCAGGGTTTGTCCCTCCACGAGGGAGGATCTTCTCTCTATCTTCTACCGAGACCCAAGCTATGGAGGAGTACATCAAGGACTCTCTGAGTGCCGGGATTATTCGCCCCTCGTCCTCCCCTGCAGGTGCTGGATTTTTTTTTGTCGATAAGAAGGATGGCGGCCTCAGGCCGTGTATTGATTATCGGGGCTTGAACAAAGGGACTGTGAGGAATCGTTACCCTTTACCCTTAATGTCCTCTGCCTTTGAACTACTTCAAGGGGCAACAGTGTTCACCAAGCTGGACCTCCGAAACGCCTACCACTTGGTCCGGATCCGGGATGGGGATGAGTGGAAGACGGCCTTCAACACACCTACAGGTCATTATGAATACCTAGTAATGCCTTTTGGATTAACTAATGCTCCAGCCGTTTTTCAGGGACTCATTAATGATGTTTTGAGAGAAATGTTGAATCGCTCTGTCTTTGTTTATTTGGATGACATTTTAATTTTCTCCAAATCCCTCCATGAACATGTCCATCACGTCAGAGCTGTTCTTCAGCGTCTCCTCGACAACAACCTCTTCGTCAAGCCCGAGAAATGTGAATTTCATGTCTCTGAGGTCTCCTTTTTGGGCTTCATCCTGTCCAAGGGGAGGCTTCTCATGGATCCGAAAAAGACTCAAGTTGTCCGTGAATGGCATCAGCCCTCTTCGGTCAAGGAGGTGCAGCGTTTTATTGGCTTTTCCAATTTCTATAGGAAGTTCATTAGGAACTTCAGTGCTGTTGTGTCTCCCTTGACCAATCTCACCAAGAAGAAGCTGGGCCCTTTTGTCTGGACTCCAGGGGCAGAGCGAGCCTTCCAGGAACTAAAGGTGAGATTCACCTCAGCTCCAATCCTGACCTTACCTGACCCTTCGCTCCCTTTTCTTGTTGAGGTAGATGCTTCAGACGTGGCGGTTGGGGCAATTCTCTCTCAACGTCCTGCAGATGGCAAACTCCATCCCTGTTCCTTCTTCTCCACTCGCCTCTCAGCTGCCGAAAGGAACTACGATGTGGGAGATAGAGAGCTCCTGGCAATCAAGATGGCCCTGGAGGAATGGCGACACTGGCTTGAGGGAGCCCAGCATCCCTTTATTGTATGGACAGACCATAAGAACTTGGAGTATGTGCAGAAGGCCAAACGACTTAACCCCAGGCAGGCAAGGTGGGCCCTTTTTTTTAATCGTTTTGATTTTATCTTGTCTTACCGCCCTGGTTCGAAGAACCAGAAACCAGATGCTCTGTCCAGACTCTTCCAGAAGGCAGAAGACGACCGGGTCCCAGCGTCCATCCTCCCGAGCTCAAAGATTGTGGCTCCGGTGCGATGGGGAATCGAGACTGTGGTGCAACAAGCCCAGAAGAGGGAGCCAGAGCCTGGTAATGGACCACCCAATCGCGCCTATGTCCCCACGGCGGTGAGAACTCAGGTCCTCCAGTGGGGGCATTCTTCACAGTTGACCAGTCACCCAGGCACAGGCAGGACGCTAGAATTTCTTAAGAGGCGTTTCTGGTGGCCAGGAATGAGTGCAGATGTCAAATCCTTTGTTGCTGCCTGCCAGGTTTGTGCCCAGAATAAGAGTCCCCATACCCCTCCCCATGGTCTCCTTCACCCATTACCTATACCCAAGCGACCCTGGTCCCACATCTCCTTGGACTTTATCACTGGCCTCCCACCCTCCCAGGGGAACACAGTAATTTTAGTTATTGTGGACCGTTTCTCTAAGGCGGGTCGGTTCATTAGTTTGCCAAAACTCCCTTCTGCTGCTGAAACTGCCGAGATTGTTTGCCAGAATGTCTTTAGATTTTTTGGTCTTCCCCTAGATGTCGTCTCTGATCGTGGACCCCAATTCGCTTCACGATTCTGGAAGTCCTTCTGCAGACTGATTGGAGCAACTGTTAGCCTCTCCTCTGGCTTCCACCCACAGTCCAACGGACAAACCGAAAGACTCAATCAGGATCTAGAGACCACCCTCCGATGTCTAGCCTCCTCGAACCCTTCATCGTGGAGCAGGTATTTGATTTGGGCGGAATATGCTCATAACACTCTGTGTTGCTCCTCTACAGGTTTCAGTCCTTTTGAGTGCCAGTTTGGGTTTCAGCCACCGCTGTTCTCTGCCCAAGAGGCAGATGTGGGTGTTCCTTCGGCCCAGAATTTTGTCCGGCGGTGCAGGCGTGTCTGGCGCAGGACCCGGGCTGCCCTGCAGAGGTCTGCGCAACTACATCAGCGCCATGCCAACCGTCACCGCAGACCTGCACCACCTCTGCGTCCAGGACAGAGGGTTTGGCTGTCAGCACGAAACCTTCCTCTGCGGGTGGAGTCCCGCAAGCTAGCTCCACGGTTTGTGGGGCCCTTCAAGGTCTTGAGGAGGATTAACCCGGTCGCCTACCGTCTGCAACTTCCCCCATCCATGCGGATTAACCCCACTTTCCATGTGTCCCTCCTGCGCCCTGTCACCACCAGCCCCCTTGCCCCAGCTACAAAACCCCCTCCACCTCCAAGAATGATCGATGGCGGGCCGGCCTATTCAATCAATCGTCTCATAGATTCTCGTCGTGCTGGAAGAGGTCTGCAATATCTAGTGGACTGGGAGGGTTACGGCCCAGAAGAACGATCCTGGGTCCCGTCGCGGCACATACTGGACCCAGTCCTGATTGAGGATTTTCACCGGAACCATCCAGATCGTCCCAGTAGGAACGTCAGGAGACGTTCATAGGGAGGGGGGTCCTGTCAGGATTTTGGACTGTATACCTGTTTTGTCCATGTGGGGTCCTCAGTGTGCATGATTGCCTGTCACATGTCTGTCACTTTGAAATTCACTGATTGTATTATTGTGTCCACCTGAGCCCTGTTTAAGCTTACCTATATAAGCCGCCTGATCTTTTGTTTGTTACTCAGTCTTGAAATGACACTAGCCCACGACGTTACAGCAGTTAAGTACCCGAGTTGTCTTTTTGTTCCCTGGCTACTGAGCCGTGCTAAGAATTCTATTTTTGTGTTTTGCCTACTTTGACTACTTTTTGAGAAACTCAGTTTTGTATTCTCTTGACCTTGTGGCGTGGATGTTTTCTGGATACTTTTTGCCTTTTTGCTTGCCCAGTAAAGAACATTACTGAACATTACTTCTCTGTCTCTGTCTCTGCACCTGAGTCTTCCCAGTCACCTCTAGCCTAGGGGTAAGGCTCCTGACTCTCACGCAGGAGACCCGAGTTCGATTCCCCGGAATCCTAACACCACCCGGGCAGAATAATTCAATCAGGTGTGTTATCTGACTCCTTTAGCGACCATTCAATGGTATTTTGTGTCTGGAAAATTAAAATAGTCCATCCGCCTCCCAAACTGATTAAGGTTAGGCATATTAATAAAATTAACCCTGAACACTTCATTCAAGACATCTTAAATGTGAACTGGGGAAGATTTCAACTAATTCCAACTGTTGAAGAAGCCTGGCACTTCTTTTACTCCGAGTTCCTGCAGGTTATCAACAAACATGCACCATTGATTTCAAAGAAGGTCAGAGGTCAAAATCTACCCTGGATTAAAGGAGAACTTATTTCTTTACTTAAACAGAGAGACAAGGCCTGGGGAAAATCTCATAAAACCAGAGACTCTGCAGACTGGAACATTTACAAGGAGCTAAGGAATAGATGCAAAACTGAAACAAGGAATGCTAAGGCAAATTACTTTAAGGATAGCCTAGCAACAGATTTCAAAAATCCCAAGAAATTCTGGAAAAAATTTAATAATCTTACAAACAAATCCTCAAAATCCTCTACAACACATATCAGTTTGACCAAACAGTAAGTGAACCTATATTGATTGCTGAGGCATTCAGTCATCACTTTGCTACGATAGGGCAAACTATTTCAGGTAACTCCCATTATGGGTCAATCCTGACTCAGGGCAGGAGTAGCAGTTCCTTTTGCTTTAATTCAATCTCCCCACTTGACGTCCAGAGGGTCATTGATGGTTTAAGACCTGGATGTAGTGCGGGCCCAGACGGCCTGTATATGAGGCTCTTTAAACTGGCCTCTCATGTTCTGTCATTCCCTTTAGCTGATCTATTCAACTTATCTTTAACAACATGTGAAATACCTTCCTCATGGAAAAGCGCTAGAGTAATTCCTCTTCACAAGGGTGGCAGTATCTCAAACATGAACAATTACAGACCAATCTCAATAATTAATAGTGTAACAAAAATATTTGAAAAGCTAATATTTAATCAACTGTCCACTTATCTCACAGACTACAACATATTATCACAACATCAATCAGGCTTCAGACCCGGCTACTCAACCACAACTGCTCTCCTAAAATTTACTAATGATATAATGTCGGCAGCTGACAGCAATATGCCTACAGGGGCTATATTTATTGACCTCTCTAAGGCGTTTGACTTGGTTGACCACTACCTTTTATTAGATCAGCTACATGCTATTGGTCTTTCTTATAAGTCTTTATTATTTTTCAACTCATTTCTTCACAATAGAACTCAAAGTGTCTCCTTTCAGGGTAGCGAATCTAAATTTAAATTAATTGATAAGGGTGTTCCTCAAGGTTCATCATTGGGCCCACTTTTGTTCTCTATTTTCATTAATGATTTGCCTCAAACATGCTTTGATAGTCAAATTCATTTAGATGCTGACGACACTGTACTGTACTGTTCCGCTGCCAATATTTCTCATATTCATCAGTCTCTCCAATCTGACTTCAACAAAGTGCAACAGTGGTTTCTTTCAAACAAGCTTCTCCTGAATAAGGAAAAATCATATAGCATGCTGTTTTGTAATCGACCCAGTTCTCTGCCATTCACTAATTGGTCAATCACTCTTCTTGATGGAACATTACTAGAAAGTGTGGAGGAGTTTAAATACTTAGGTGTCTGGCTGGATTCTCAGCTTTCCTTTAAACCCCATATTAATGCAATTTCCAAGAAAATAACTGGTTGTTTAAAATCTCTCTATCGATCCGTTGATTGCTTTTCACAGGAAGTCCGCAAAAGAATTATAACTCAGTTAATTCTTCCAATATTTGACTATGCTGATGTTGTCTATGGCAACACTCCTGAAACACATCTTCGTCCTCTCAACGTACTGTATAACAGTCTCTGTAGATTTGTACTTAGGTGTCCTTATAGGACACATCACTGTGCGATGTATGAAACTTTAAACTGGCCGGCACCCAAGACCAGAAGACAGCTCCACTGGTCAATTCTTACTTTTAAATGTATTCACTTACAGTCCCCTCCTTACTTGAAAGTGCTATTAACTCCTCTAAGGTCTCACTACAGCCTACGGAACATTGACCATTTGTTTTTAGTTACACCCAGAATTTGTAAAGAAATTGGTCGTCGTGCATTTAAATTTAAAGCACCATCAGATTGGAACAGCCTTCCCTCATCACTTAGGTCCATCACCTCCCTTCATATTTTTAGATCATCTTTAATCACTTATTTTGAAACATCCTGCCCTTGCTTCTGAATGGCCTTAGTTGTTGGGTTGTGTATTTGTTTGTTTGTTTGGTTGTTTTTGTTGTTTCCAGTTTTCAGGATTTGGTCTGTTTTGCTTTTTTTTTTTTTGATTGTCTTGTTTTTCCTTCCCTCCTCTTTTTCTTTTTCTCTTTTATGGATTTATTTTACAGCCAATGGTATTACCTTGTTATCTTGTAAATGATTCTATTCTAGTATGCTGGGTGGTGGGGTAGTTTGGAGCAATGTCGGCAAGTGAGTGAGTGTGTCTGTGTCTGTCTACTGTGTGTACTTAAGTTCTGTTCTTCTTTTTCTTTTACCTCGAAAACGAGATGCCACATCTCAAGGGGCTATCCTTGTAATAAATAAATATTCCTAAAATACAGCCCTTTACTGCTAATCAACTGGCCAAAGTATATTGCATTCTGGGAAGAGCAATTTCACCTGAACTGCACATGTGAAGCTGGATCCATTCTTCTCTTCATCCATCCCCATCTTACTTATTATTTGGTGAGTAGCCATTTTATTTAAGTGTTTTGGGAGGAATTAAGTACAGAAACTATAGTAGAGGTTACTGGTTGGTTTGGTTACCCCAGTGTTAAATCCACGCTAAGTTAAGTATTTGTCTCTCTGTTTTTGTTGTCAATAAAGAAAGCTGAATGCTCATTGTGTGTTACTTCACCGATCGCCACATTGGCCACTATTCCTATGTGTATAACTTGCTAAGTCAGTATTAATTTAGGTTAAAAAAAAAAAGTGTATTAAAATTACATTTTAAGTTTATTAAAATGTATGTAAAAAACACAGAAGTCAACTGTAAGATACTCTAAAAGAAAAACAACAGCTATATGATGTATTTTTAAAGAAGTCAGCTAACTGTAAAATACTGTGAAAGTAATCAAAAAAACAGTTCATACCATTTTGAAAGGAACATTTTTAACAGTGTACAGTATAACCTGAACCTCTAGATCATATTGAAATAAGGGTATAGTGCTAAGTTGTCAACACTAAACCGGCCTCTTTTATTTGTATTATTCATTATTTTAACTGTGTTTTTCTAGGTTTGTGATTACTGGATGTGTTGATCCTTGGGGTGGTGGAAGCCATCCATTATGGGTTCAGAAAGGGAGAGTTGTTTGTCACCAGATAAGAACTAGCAGTCAACACATGATGATCGATTAAGAAATCTGGGGTCGTGTCCTCGAGAACATTGCTTAAATACATTTTGATGACTTGGACGTTTAAACAAGTATAGCCTATACGATTTTTCCCCTTACAAAACCTTGTAAAACGACAAGGAGTACTAATGCAGTGGTTTCACGTCAGTTCAATTACATTAAACTGCATGTTCACATTTAAACGCCATGTCAAAACACCCAAGACATCAGTCACAATTCCATTTTAAGCTATTTCACTAGAATGAGTTTAGCTTTTCAGACAGGCACTAGAGCACTAGCATGGTTTCCCAACCTGTGGGTCAGGGCCCCACTTGGGGTTGCCTGATATACATATGGGAGATTGACATTGCGCCTACGTTCACTGGGACATTATTGATATTACGGGCAGATGTTGATTGGGTTAAAATTATGTGTGGGGAAAGCAGATGCACAACAATGGCGTCACGGGCCAGAAAAGGCTGCACTCTGAAATCTGTCGTCACTGAGTGTTTCTATGCATGCCACCTGTAAAGCCATGAGACGCTGTTGGTGTTCCCTTATGCTGAAGACCACCAGCTGTACATGAGGAGCAGCAACCCAAAGCACCGTGTGACGCATACACACATTTGTAGGGCTCGACCTCAGCGTGGCGTGACAGGTGGCCCTGGATACTTGCGCCATGACATTCATGAGGGAAAAAGGTCGGGGGGTGATTCCTCCTATTGTTCAAACAACAATGGTGTCCACAGAAAACGATTAGAAACAGGACATCCTCGCTCTGTTTCATTTTATCACCCACACCAACACTACCGCCAGCGCAAAGTGTGTTTCAAACCTCCTCCAACGAAGACATCTCTCGTATCGCAATGTTTCCAATAGGAAACATCTGTATGGGGGTATTATTGAGACAATATTATTTGTGTGTGCGTATCTCAATCTGTGTGTTGTGGTAACTCGGTACACTAGAGGAGGCTCAAGGCAAACACCAGGCAGGAAAAGAGGGTCCAAAGCCTCAATCGGCGGTTTATTCTCACACAACAAAAGGGGATTGCTCAATACATGGGTCAAGTGTCCGCCGTGCGGCTCACTCCATGTCGGCTGGGTCCTCGGCGTCGTCCTCTCTTCCACTCGACTGTTCTTCCCTCCTGTCGGTCGGTGGCCTCCTTTTAACACCTGGGTGCCTTTCCCCCAGGTGTTCCCCGTTTGGCCGATTAGGGCTCTCGGGAGGCCGGGATTTGTCGCCGGCTGTTGGCCACCGGCGGTATATACCGGCCTCAACTCTCCCGAATAGGGGGCGTGGTCGCGGAGGGATGCCACAGTGTGTGTAATAAGATTTGTGTGTATTCACATTTGTGTGTATTCACATTTGTGTGTGCGTAATAAGATTTGTGTGTCTGTATTCACATTTGTGTGTGTGTAAAAAAATCGGTGTGTCTGTATTCGTTTTGCAAGTGAAGACAAATCTGCAAATGTGTACAGAGATCTGTAAGTGTACACACATCTGTGAATGTGTAAACAGATCTGTACATGCGTACCACTGGCATACAACGTGATGATGGGCCCCGGTGCAACTAGTATTTTAGGGCCCCCGCGTTTGTTGACGGGGGGGGGG